GGATGCAAAATCACAGTTACACAAAAGAACTGGCCAAATTTTTCAGAAATCCCTTCAATTCTGATATAAAACATGATGCCTAAAGACTGCAGATCTCCAATTTAGATGATCGGTCATATGACCGGCAGATGTCTCGTAGGATTCCCAGAGAGTTTTGCTTTACATAGAAATTTGTGCTCTTTTATTTTCATTTTGACTCACTTCAGTGTTGGTTCCTTTAATTCAAGTTGGCATTCGGTTTTTGGAATTTAAATAAGTTCTCAGCAAAAAAGTTTGTTTAAAAAAATATATATGTGTACATAGTGCTTGAAAATATCAATTTTTCCCTTACCTTAAACCTTTGGGAGTGGGCAAAAATGATGTTTTGTAATTTAGGCAGAATTGAATATGCGCTATCTGGGAAGACAATATCTACATGTAATATTTATTCTGTTTGTTGGCACTATATCCAAACACAAACGCATCTTAAGTATCTTAACAGTTAAACAATTTCTTATTCTCTAAGTTTGCGAATAAAACATCACACTTAAAATTAAGACATTTATAGCAAACATTTTATGAAGAAAATCCCTTCTTCGTTTAAAATAAAAGTTAGCGAATTTGGCCCAATTTCATACAACCCTGCCTGACATGAAAATTTTCTCCACGATAAGGCTAGTAGCCATTTCTAACAGATTTTGGGTCGCTTAGTCAAAAATGGAAATATATATACTTATTTGAAATTTAAAAACAAGGCAAATAGCAAAATCGGCTAAAAAAGGGCTAATTTTTTTCTGTAAAACGGCTAACAAACCGGCTGCCGGCTAAATTGAAATTTCTCCGGCTGTTTGCTATCGCAACCGGCTAAATCTAGCCGGAAAACGGCTTAAATGGCAACACTGGTTCCCATACTAATTAGAGATAACACTTTTGGGCAAAATTACTCGAGTTTGTCTCATGTTTATGTTTTGTGTTAAACTGGAATCTATCGCTGCTNGTTTCCAATTTTGGAATCTGAACTTGGCAGCCGATGGATCAAAGCAGATATGACCGAAGAAGAAAAGCAACAGATANTAAAAATGATATTTTGTAATTTAGGCAGAATAGAATATGCGCTATCTGGGAAGACAATATCTACATGTAATATTTATTCTGTTTGTTGGCACTATATCCAAACACAAACGCATCTTAAGTATCTTAACAGTTAAACAATTTCTTATTCTCTAAGTTTGCGAATAAAACATCACACTTAAAATTAAGACATTTATAGCAAACATTTTATGAAGAAAATCCCTTCTTCGTTTAAAATAAAAGTTAGCGAATTTGGCCCAATTTCATACAACCCTGCCTGACATGAAAATTTTCTCCACGATAAGGCTAGTAGCCATTTCTAACAGATTTTGGGTCGCTTAGTCAAAAATGGAAACATATATACTTATTTGAAATTTAAAAACAAGGCAAATAGCAAAATCGGCTAAAAAAGGGCTAATTTTTTTCTGTAAAACGGCTAACAAACCGGCTGCCGGCTAAATTGAAATTTCTCCGGCTGTTTGCTATCGCAACCGGCTAAATCTAGCCGGAAAACGGCTTAAATGGCAACACTGGTTCCCATACTAATTAGAGATAACACTTTTGGGCAAAATTACTCGAGTTTGTCTCATGTTTATGTTTTGTGTTAAACTGGAATCTATCGCTGCTTGTACATACATACATGAATTTCGCTTTCGGCGCAGCGCTGCTTGTACATAAGTTTCGCTTTGCGCCTGCCTGAAGCTGGCAAAGGTTCTTTTTTTATTTTTGCGCTGTGCTAGCTGAGTATAAAAAAGAGAAGAGAGAATAGAGAGAAATATGTATGTGGTTTGTTGATGCTCTCTAAACACAGACGCGTGAAAGGCAAACGGTCTAGAAATGCGTGGTATTAAAAGCGTTCCTTAACTCGGAAATGACAGCGAAAATGAGAGAGCAACAGTCAGTGAGAGTGACTCTCATTAGTCCGAAGTAGACAGATTTAGTCAGAAGAATTTTTTCTGGCAAAATCCTGAAAAGTGTCAAACTCAACTGAATTTAAATTAACGGAAATTAAAGAATACGCTAAAAGTGAGAATAATCTAAAAAGTAAAAGAAATGAATTGAAATTGGAAGGAGGCAAAAAATAATTGATATAGCAAGTGTTTATTGTGCTTGTGCTTGTGTGAATGTGTTTTGTACATACATTTCTGTTCTTATTTGACGTTAGTTTTGTTGTTGCCATTCTTTGGACTAAAAATTTGGTTTTTTGCGTTCCTTTACTTTTCCTTTTATTCTCTTTTAGTGAGCGCATTTTGCTTACGCTCTGGCATTTTGACACTTTTCAGATTTTAGTCCAAAAAGATAAGGAATGAACCTATTGTTGATCAACTTAATACTTTATTTAAACATAAGGGTTGCTCACAGTTCGAGTGTGTTATCTTGTTAAAGTTGCCATCTTTTAACTTTAGAAGTAAACTGTGAATACCCTATATGTGTTAACTAAATTTTAAATCAGATTTATATCTAACTTTCGGCTGAGCAAAGAGGCGTTTATGTACGTGCTTGGTAACATAAAGGACAAATTGGAAGGTCGTATTTCATCATCCATACCACCAATCCTGAAATTGTGCTGCGCTTTAAGGTTTTTTGCACATGCGAGTTACCAGGAGGCCATAGGAAATGAATTTCAATTGGGCCTAGCCCAATCCTCTGTTTCGGTAGTTCTGAGGGAGGTTTTTCCAATTTTGGAATCTGAACTTTGCAGCCGATGGATCAAAGCAGATATGACCGAAGAAGAAAAGCAACAGATACGAAGCAAATTCTATTCAAGGTCTGGAATGCCCAACGTGATGAATGGAACACATGTTGGAATTATTGCTCCTCACAATGACAAACACCTATATTTAAACAGGAAAGGCTTTTTTAGCATAAATGCCATGATTGTAAGTTGTAACTAAATTATATTANACATGTAATATTTATTCTGTTTGTTGGCACTATATCCAAACACAAACGCATCTTAAGTATCTTAACAGTTAAACAATTTCTTATTCTCTAAGTTTGCGAATAAAACATCACACTTAAAATTAAGACATTTATAGCAAACATTTTATGAAGAAAATCCCTTCTTCGTTTAAAATAAAAGTTAGCGAATTTGGCCCAATTTCATACAACCCTGCCTGACATGAAAATTTTCTCCACGATAAGGCTAGTAGCCATTTCNTAGCATAAATGCCATGATTGTAAGTTGTAACTAAATTATATTACCATTATTGTTTGTTAACATATTAATGTATTGCAGGCTTGCGATTATGACATGAACATCCGATGTGTTGATGCCAGATATGCAGGATCTACCCACGATTCTTTTGTGTGGAACAACAGTTCATTAAATGCATTTTTACAAAGTCAGTACGAAAATGGGGATCAAAACCATGATTCAATAATAAAAGGTTTGCTCAAAAAGCAGTTTTCTCGCTCCCTCTTTACAAAATCGGCTCCCTTAGCAAAGCATTGTGTGCGGGTTCGTGTGTGTGTGCAAAGCTTTTGTAAGGCAGCTAAGGGAGTGTCAAAAGTCTAATGTCAATAATGAGCAAACCTTTAATTATTGAATCATGGATCAAAACTCTATTTATTTAGGTGCGTTCAAATCCTCCTTTGTATACTGTGATTATACATACATGTACATTGTACAAGTATTTGCATTTGTAATTTCGTTTAGGACCTAAAATTTAACTGTTTAACTGTTAACACCTTTTCGAAAAGCGGACTCAGGGAGTAGACAGTCATTATATAATAAGAAACATGCGAAGGCAAGAAACGTTGTTGAACGGACGATTGGAGTGTTGAAGGCTCGTTTTCGCTGTCTCCTCAGTGAGCGCAAATTGCGCTACACACCTACGAAAGTGACCACGATTATAAACATATGCTGTGCTTTGCACAATATCTGTAAAAAATTTAAAATGTGTGATCCAGACGAATCTGAGATTTTTATTGACGCCGTTGTACCATCGGAACCAGTTAGTGAAAATTCCGGTGGTACACCCGGAGAACGTCGCAGAAGAGAGATAGCTGATGCATTATTATAAAATAAGTAACTACTTTATTTTAAAAAAATATTTTTAAATTAGTATAGATGTAAATAAAAATGAATTCATTATTTACTTAGAAACTAAAGAAATTCACAGTGATACAGAGATATTTTTTATTATAAATTTTTTGACAAAAGAATATGTACACTTAACAGCAAAAGTCTGCGTACACCATTTTTAACCTTTTTTAAATATTCACAAAATTTTCCAAGTTAAAATTTGTTGGTTATATTTTTATAATTCGAGAATGCGAAGTTCGCCGATATTTTCTTTCGCTTCGCAAGTGATAATACCAGCCTATAACTATAGAAAATCGCGGGATGCTTTATGAAGTTGCCTAGTGTTCATACATATGTATGTACAAAGAGATCCATAAACTAAATTATGTTCATATTCGATTTTGTTTTATGCTCCAAAATTCCCCGCAATTCATATTTTAAAATTAACTTTTAAACTTTTCTGCAATCTGGGCACAGTTAAAGCTAATCATAGTAACGCTACTTCAGAAAGAAATTCTTCAACCCCTGGTCGGTTAAAACCATGGCTGTGTATTATATGGTTGACAGGTGTAGGACTTTTACAAATACACTTACATATTAAAATTAATACTGAAAGGATAATAGAAATATATAATACAAAATTAAGTTTGCAAATTAAATAAATAAGAAGTTCTGATCACTTTATTAAAATAATTCCATCATTCAATCGAAAGACGTTGTAAGTAAGAAATATGTATTAAAATATATACATAAGTTCATTCATTACTTTAATAAATACAATGGACAATTTTTTATCTTATTGTTTTTGAAAAGATTAAGTAATTTTCTAATTAACGGTTGGATGCTTTTAAGTCATATAGCTTGAACTTTGAGGGGTCACTCATGATGAAACTTAAACTCTTTTTAATTTAACTTTATTTGAAAAGTTGACCCCAATCACCCCAAAGTTCTGTATCACCCACTGATGTACATGAAGTGGAATATAGACTGAAAAATCCTTATAAATCAGCACCCATTTCCGAAAAATAAGTACATTTGCGTACTGAACTGGGAATTGAATATTTTCAGTACAGCCACTGAAAATTCAGTACTGTCCTTCCCAAATCAGTAAGTTCGGCAACCGTATACTACTGACAATAGTTCAGCCGTTCAGTGCACAAATTGATTAACACCATCAACAAAAAGTTGGGAGATGCGATCAAATAATGTACATTATTTTCTAAAATTCCATTTATAATAAGGGTATTCACAGTTTACTTTTAAAGTTAAAAGGTGGTAACTTTAACAAGATAACACACTCGAACTGTGAGCAACCCTTCACACATGTGTTTTAAATTGTCAATAAAACAAATATAGTCAGATATATATTTAAAAATCTTTCAAATTGCGCCCACCTTATGTTTTTATGCTTCACTTTCCATTTTTTCTTAGCGCGAATAATTAGCTGATCAGAGATGTCAGTTTAACACAAAACAAAAACATGAGACAAAGTCGAATAACTTTGCCCAAAAGTGTTATCTCTAATTAGTATGAGAACCAACAACAAACAAAGTTACCACATGGTGAAATATTTTAAAGTTACCAGGTGGCAAAATTAACACAGTAATAAAAAAAAAATGTTATAAATATTATGTACTATTGTATGTTGTCCCTATCTATGTACTTATTTCTAAAAGGTATTTTTCTGTTACCAAACGATATCTCCTTTAATATTTTATCAAATTCAATGAATGATATCTCATTTTGAAGGGGGGAAGCTCATGTACATGTGAAAAATAGTCACGTTGTTCAAATTTAGTTATCTATTTAAAAAAGGGGGGTTTTGAAGGCCTGGAAGAGTTGTATACCGGTCAGTAATGCGTCATATCTTTTCTAATACTCCATCAAATTGAATGAACTAAACACCATTCTGAAGAAGTTATGGTAAAAAATAAAAACCTTTAGGATTGCCTCTGCTTAAATTTTAGTGACTTAAATATACATGTGTATATCTTGAGTAAAATATTGCAACGCGTTAAGCGAATGAAACACATTTAAATGCACTCTTAACCAGAAGTAATAATTTGGTTGCCAACTCTTTAAAAATCTATATACATACTTATTTTTAAAAGGTAGTTTGATGTTACGACACGATATCTCCCTTAATATTTTATGAAAGTCTTCTGATTGAAGAGGGGAAGCTCACGTACGATCGAAAGATAGTCACGTTGCTCAAGTTAACTTAAAAAGGTGTTTTAAAACGCTAAAAGCACTGTATCCGGTCAATCTATTGCCATATCTTTCATAATACTTCATAAAACCTAATGATTGAAACCGTTAAGATAAAAAGTACAATCTTTTGAATAGTAAGGATATTCATCAAACCTTATAAATGCATGGTAAACCGTATAAACTTATAATTGTGTAACCCTTATAAATTAACTGTCAAAATTTGTATGGAAAATCATTAATTTTACATTTCTGATAAACTCGATAAAGTGAAGCCAATGCAACTCTGTCGCAACTCTAGCTATGCTTTCTTGTGCAATAATCGGGATCCGCATACAAATTTTGCACGCAAATTCAACAACAACATATGAACCTGATAGAGATGTGGTTCAATTATTATCCCGTCTCTTTGTTTTGTTTCACTGATAATTTGGCCGCAAAGTTTTGGCAGCCGTGACAAATGAATTCATACACAAACAGACATTCTATATTTATTTAAATAGATATTATCTCGTAAATATAATTTTTTCCAATTTAGTGAGGTAGTTTCTATAATTTCTTTATCCCCGTGCTAGTATTATAAAGTTAGTGATACTGAGCTCTATAACCAAAGAAAACACGACCATTGTCGCATGTGTAAACGAAAAGAAAAGTGTGGGTCGTTCATGTAACAGAGTGCGTAAACTTAAAAGATTATCTGCTTGATAAAGTTATCGGTTTAGATGAATACCACTAGTGTTGCTCCTGTCTAAAATTTTATTTATTTATTAATATTATATTTTATAAATCAATTTATAAAATATATTAGGAGGCTCGGCGGCTAGGCCATTTGCCTCGCAAGCAAAATTATATTTCATGCAGCAGGTTGTGTTTGTTGAGGGCGTCGCTTAGCAGCTTTATTGTATGTTCATGACTGCAGTCTAGAGTTGCAGTCAAGTTATTGCTATAACCGGAGATGGGACAGTCCTTAAGGATGTGTTCTATACTGAGGGGTTCGTTACATTGCCTGCATTCCCGTTGAGCTACGCGACTGTAGTAATGCTCAGATGTGAATTTGGTTACGCCTATTCTCATTCTTGCTATTGTTATGCATTTTTCGCGTGAAAGGTCCTTATGATAGTTCAGTCGGTCACATCTGACGTTGTGGGTCCTTAAAAAACACTTGGACGATTCCCACAATCTATCTCTGGTTGCTCTGAGGTACGATCTATGGAAATTTGTCATGGCAGTGACCAAGCAAGGAGACTCTGCTACAAGTGGCACACTAAAAGCTTGTTTAGCAGCTTTGTCTGCTAGCTCATTGCCTGTTATCCCCATGTGTCCGGGTATCCATGTCAGTTTAATATAGTCGTGTTTATTAATTCTCCCCACTACGTATCTGTGCGCTTCACTATTTCGGTCCATTAACGATTTTAGCACACTCAAGCTATCCGAGAAAATGACGGCCCGTTTTTTGATTCTGGTTGCGTGTTGGACGGCAAATTTAATTGCTGTTAATTCGGCGTTAAAAATACCAGCATATGGCGGCAGAAGGGCTTGATGGAGTTGTTGATGAGTTCCATCCATCCGTTGTTCTATAACAGCATAAGACGGTGATTCTCCGAGTAAGGAGCCATCAGTATAGTAGAAGGTATCAGCTGAACAGTTTGCTTTATATGCTAAAACATTTTGATGTAGACTTCCGCAGAGGTGTTGCTTTTATTGAAAGCGCTCAATGAGATGTCGATGGAGATACTTTTGTCTGTCCCGCACATATCAGGTGGTTTTGGTGGTATTGGGATATGAGTGTCCTTTAGATACTTGGTAATAGCAGTGATGCTGCAGATGCTCCTGTAGCTTTTGACCTTAGAACTTCCGCTAGTTATACAATCCCAAAAGGTGTTATGCAGAGGATGCGAAACCGTTGTGAAAGCTTTTGCTGCCAATTTTACAGAACGACTCTGGAGTAGCAAACGGAAGTCATCGTAGCGCGCTTCGACTCTTCTATTGGTGTTGCCACTAGTAAGCCGGCTGCAGCTCTAAAGCAATGATTTAGAGCAGTATTTATTTTATTTATATTGGCTTCGGATGTATATCCATAGAGACTGATGCAATGTTGTACTGCTCCTTCAGCTAGTGACCGGCATATATCAAGAGCTGTTTCGATATGGGGACCCTTTTTCCGGGAGCATATTACTTTGAGTAGGTTCTGCACTTTACTGAGTTTTGATGTGATTGTTTTTACGCGTTCATTCCATAAAAGATTCCTGGTGAAGGTAACGCCTAAAATTCTCATTTTCGCTTTGAGATCGACGTTATTGTTTCTCAGTGTAATGGACGATACGTTACAGTTTCTCTTTCTGCAAAAATGAATGGCTTCAATCTTGTGAGCCGGTATTACTGATCCGGTTATTGCCGACCACTCTTGAATTTTTTTGTCGATGGAATTGAGGCTTTGAGATACTTCTTCTTGAGTGCCTGAAGACAAAGCAAAGATGTTGTCTGCATATATACCAACGAAATCAATGCCATGTATATCTTTTAGTGTTTTTGACAGTGTGTTCGTATACGCATTAAAAAGGAACACAGAGAGTGGGGAGCCCTGCGGAATTCCATTGTCTAGTTTATAATTCTGGGACAAGAAACCATCTACTTTCACTGAGATCCTTATGTGAGAGAGAAAGGATAAAGCTAATTTTAGAAGGATTTTGGGTATACCCCAACAGTGTAGCTCCTTTATTACTACCGTTGATATTACCCTGTCAAATGCTTTTTCGAGATCTTCAGAAACCAGTATGCAGTGCTTTTGAC